AGTGGAGTGGGGAAAGGGGAAGACAATTCGCACAAATAGAAGCCCTACCTACTTTCACTTACGTAGTGAAGCCTCCGAGCTGGGCGGGGATTCAGTTTTGGTTTCAGAAAAAACCAGATGTCTTGGTGCCTGATAGACCGAGATTTCCAGAAAGCTCATTTGAAGAATCAGCTTTGGATAGTTCTTAACAAGGTGGGTTTTACCCTCCCCCTCTTTTCATATGCTTACTCTTCCTCAAAAGGCAAGACAACTGGAATTTCTTTGATATTCCAGCAATAATTTCCCTTCAGTACAGGCTGCGCTAACATATGCTTTGAGGTATTGTTTTTATTTTATTATTTTATTTTTTTAAAGGTTGCTTTATTTTTTTTAATCTTTTTTAATGTTTATTTCTTTTTGAGACAGAGACAGAGCATGAACGGGGGAGGGCCAGAGAGAGAGGGAGACACAGAATCCTAAGCAGGCTCCAGGCTCTGAGCTGTCAGCACAGAGCCCGACGCAGGGCCCGAACTCATGAACAGTGAGATCATGACCCGAGCCAAAGTCGGAGGCTCAACCATCTGAGCCACCCAGGCGCCCCAGGTATTGTTTTTATTGAAACACACGCATTTGAAGGTTGCGTGGGTGGCTCAGGTAAGCGAGGGACTTCAGCTGAGGTCATGATCTCATGGTTTGAGTTCCAGCCCCACATTGGGTTTGCTGCGGTCAGCACGGGGCCTGCTTGGGATCCTCTGCCCCCCACCCCACCCCCCCCCCCCCGCTATTCCCACGACTTGTGTTCTCTCTCTCCCCCAACCCCCACCCCCCACCAAATATATAAACTTTAAAAACACACACGCATTTGAAATATTCCCAAATGGTTTGTGGAATTTCATTTTACTGGCAACCAAATATAGTCCCTTATTTTTTGCCAATCCTTACCCCTCCTTTATTCCCTTCTAGATGTAATTCAAAACTGCTACACTCTTTTAGTAGAATACAGTGAATAGAATTTCGGAATTTGATAGCTGGAATTCTAAAGAAAAGGCCCAGAGGAGTAATTGACTACGGTCACCACCTGAATTAGTGACAGTCATCTGGGAGACAGGATTAGGTTAGCTCCCATCATAGCACTTACTATACTGCATCACAACTTCCTATTTGCTGATGTGTCTCAACAGACTAACTCTGAGGTCAGAGACCAGGTATATTCATCTCTATATCCAGGACCTAGCATGGTGTCTAGCATATAGGTTGTTGAATGAAGAATTCAGATTCCCTGACTCCTGGCTTTGACTCCAGGTTGTTGTTTATCCCATATGGATAGGAGTGGGGACCAGGACAAAGTCTCAAGTCCTGAAAGCCCAAGAAAATGGCTGTGAAGTCTGTCATCTACATGTAGGAAAAGTTAAATGCTTGTGATGATTCCAGAATCATTCTGGGGTGCGGGAGGACTTTCAATTGTGGAGCAGGGATGTTGGGAAGTTACTAATGAAGTCATTTATGTACAACTCAAATGTCCCCAGAACTCACTAACCTGTAGGTACAAATGATGTCTTTAATGGGCAAATTTCACTAACGCCATAGCTGCTTTCTTTGGGTAACTTTGTAAGGTTCCCTTTGCCACTTCAAGAAGTCCCCAGACCTTTGGTGACTGCTCACACTGTTCCTGCTATTCCATCTTAGCTTCTCAGATTCTACTTCTGTCACACTCCCACACTCCTGTTTCTCCAAGCCCCGAGATCTTACTTTTTTTTTTTTTTATCACTGCAGAAATAGTCCCCTTCCTCTGTTGTGTGCCCTTTTTGAGGGGTCTCAGAGCAATGCTAAGCCAAAAGGTGTTATGAGGTTTATTTGGACTACTCTGTTTCAGTACAGCTTTCTCCTCCAAGGGCATGTGCCCTTGCCACTAGAGTAAAGGCATCAAGGAAGGATTTCAGTATAGTCACCACACTACCTGGAACCACCATTTGCCTATCCTCAGCCCTTGTTGCTGAGTTCTACTCATAGAACTCAATAGCTTCTTCTCCCATTGTGAGTTTCTCTTAGGGGTCAGTTTTCCCTTTCCCTGCTAGGTTCTCACCAGATACTGCCCTTGCTACATATATTACAGTTGATTGTATTATATATGACAAACTGTTTTCACGGATAGAAAGAATGAATTTTGAGAATTCCCAAGGATTCCATTTACCTCATTTATTTGCCCCTCAAAGCATAACCCAATTTTTACCTCCATGAAGGTTCCCCGTTATACTAGATGGAAATTTCTTCCTCCTCTGAACTCCAAATTCACATTGTCTGTATGAAAAATTGGCCTTATGATTAAGGCCTATGTCACCTTAGTCACCTTCTGCCTGTGATATCTCTCATATTGTTATTTACTTTATCATCTCAACCACAGAGCCCCTTGAGGCTAGGAAGCCTGTTGTAAACATTTTCTTATTTCCCACTGTTTATGCACAGTAGATGCCAAGCAGTATTTGATAAATATTAATTTGTAGTTGTAGCCCTCTGCCTTACCCATAGCACCTTACATCTGGATGCAGTAGGATTATCTTAAGTGATGGCATATATGGATGCATGGGAAGATGGATATTTATATACTTGTGTGTGTCCTTGTTTGTAGTCAGTGTAGGGGTCAAGGGTAGGGAAGTATCCTCTTTGGAGCTGAACCAAAGGAGCCCATTAAATTTTTTTCTCTTGGGAATTTCAGGCTGCAAGACAGAGCCTGGCAGTCTCTTGAACTGCATACAGTAGCACTCTAGAACAGTCCAAAACTCTTGCTGATGTTCCTGGAGTTTCCCTGCATTCTTTCTTTCTAACTGCTATGAAATTTGTTTAGATTCTTTGAGATGCCCTCATAGTCTTACAAATAAGTTCTTTTGCTTAAAGTAGCTAGAAGTTTCTGTTCTTGGCAATGAGGAGAACCTGACCTGCCACAGTAGAATAAGGCATGACACTGACAACATCACACAGAGGATGCTCTCCAGATAAAGAAGAGCATGACTGTGTTATCCATGTATGCCACTTCATTCAAAAAAACTATTCTCTCTCTCTCTTTTTTTTTTTCTAAGAAAAGTATGGCCTTTAGCCCTCTGAAGAGGAAAGGGTAAGTTTGGGTCCTACGTAATGTTAACAACAAACAACACAACCTTTACAAATTATGGGGATAAAAATTATTTTCAAAAACATACATTTTTCATATTGTTACACACCATCCTCATATCACCTATACTGAGGTAAACAGATAAGTATAAAATCTGAGTAACATTTGCTGAATTTAAATACAAAGATTCCCTTATTGACTATTCAAAGGGCAGATGAGAATCTGCATTGATCCAACTCTTACAGTCTTATCCAGTTCCCCTTAGGAGCAAATGGCTAGTCAATCTGTAAATAGGATCTAGTTAAGTCAACTGTCTCCATCCATCCATCCATTCTTCCTTTCAATGATTCTTTAGTATCTACTGTGTGAGTCACTGTACTGGATAATGGAGACCTCAAGATGAATAAAACATGATTCCCACCCATCAAGAAGCCTACAGAACAGTAGCAGAAATAGTCAAATAACTACAGTGTAATGTGATATATAACACAGGCACGAGAAAAGTTTTATCATAGCCCCTAACTGCCTAATGGAATGAAAGAAAGGATCCAGAGACAGGATGCTTGAGCTGGAACTTGAAGCAAAATGGGAAATTCACAGGGAAATGCAGTTTCAGCTCTTCATTCAAAGAAGAGAAAATTCTGTTTCTAGTTTAGTGACAGGAAAATTAAAACAGAGAAAGATAACATCTACTGGGACCTCATACTGACAAGGCAACACCACTGTACAACACAGAAATCCAGACTGCTTATCGTTAGACTTCTAGCACCTAAGGACATGGTCCCCATGAATTTTTAATGCTCAGAAACAAAACATCTAAATTTCAATGTCTGCCTTATTCTATGCAATGATCTTACCAAGGATATTCAACTCCTCCTCTAAGAAGGTCCTTAGACTTAAACATTTATGGAAGGGAGTTTAAAAAGCCAAATACTTGCGGCACCTGGGTGGCTCAGTTGGTTAAGCATCCAACTTCGGCTCAGGTCATGATCTCGTGGTTTGTGAGTTTGAGCCCCGTGTCAAGCTCTGTGCTGACAGCGCAGAGCCTGGAGCCTGCTTTAGATTTTGTGTCTCCCCCTCTCTCTGCCCCTCCCCTGCTCATGCTCTGTGTCTGTCTCTCAATAATAAATAAACGTTAAAAAAAATTATTTTAAAAAAGCCAAATACTTTCCTCACTAATGGAATAAAATCCCTGATTTTATATGACTGAACCTCACATTTACTAATTTTGAAACAAACTAATATACGGAACAGTTCTTAAGAAGCAAAGGAAGGGGCGCCTGGGTGGCGCAGTCGGTTAAGCGTCCGACTTCAGCCAGGTCACGATCTCGCGGTCCGTGAGTTCGAGCCCCGTGTCGGGCCCTGGGCTGATGGCTCAGAGCCTGGAGCCTGTTTCCGATTCTGTGTCTCCCTCTCTCTCTGCCCCTCCCCCGTTCATGCTCTGTCTCTCTCTGTCCCAAAAATAAATAAACGTTGAAAAAAAAAATTAAAAAAAAAAAAAAAAAAAAAGAAGCAAAGGAAAAGAGCAGATTTAATGTGGAAAAGTTGGGCCAAAGGGACAGAATGGTTCTGAGTCATCAAACTATGGGTTTTCATCTAAAAATTTTTCTTCACTTTTGACTATAAAAGGGAGAGCATCCTGAGAGATTAAACCACTATCCAAATGTGTTTTTCAAAAAGGGAAAAAAGGGAAAAAGAGGCACTCCAACATGGATTTGCACTGAAATATTTCCTACATGAGTAAGTGCTCAACTTGGATGATCTAAACCCCAATAACATTTCATAGATGAAGACACCTTGAGGTCCCTGCATGCCCTTGCGGCTGTGGACACTGCTGCCAATTTAAAGAGGAAAAATATTAAGGGTGTGTAAGGAGTGAGGAAAATTTGCTGTTTTGTGCACAGTTCCTTTAGAGTGAGGACTACTTTCTAAATTTATTAAGAGGTTTTTGTCTTTTTTTAAAATAGAGACCATAAAAAGAAGTAGTGTGTGAAGGCACAAAAAAGGGGAACTTGAAATCCAATTGCAATAATTACTCATGCAATTGGCCCCTTTCTCTGTGGCATTATAGAAACCTCCTGAGTACCAAAAAGCTTATGCTTTTACAAAAGAGAACTGCCACATCATTGCATGGCACAACTACTGCTTCCTTAGACCTTTCAGGAAATGATCCCTAAGTGGTTTTCACTAGCCCCATAGGGCTTCCTACATTAAAATACAGTGACCAAGATTAGCCTAGAATAACTGAACTGCAGAGATGAGTTATACTAGTTCCAAATGATTAGTTTTCTGCTCCAAATGATGGGACAAAGTATCCTCTGACGGACATAGTTGGTTTCACAGTGATGGACATACATGTATGGATGATCTGAGGCACAAGCTGTGATTGGTCTTAAGAAAATGAAAGGTGGAATTGGGTTCAACACCCAAATCTCATGATTTCTGGTCCTTATTCAGCCAAAGCGTTGAGCTGCTCCGAGTCCATATTATACACATTTTTGATCTTTCTCAGTTGTCTGGGTGCAGCATGATAAGGAAAACCAGGTATTTGGCTTGATAACAGAATTCAAGGTAGAGGTGCCACGCTCATGGTAAGCTTCTCACCACAGGATATCTGAGAGCTGCTGCCAGAGAGGACTGTGGTCCAATGATGATGACTAGAGTTCAGTTTTCAAAATTTTAGGAATAATCTGATCATAGCCTTTCCTTCTTGTTACATTATAGGACAGGAATTTAGAGTATTCAGTCAACAGGTTCTCCCAGTAGCAGGTGATGTCATCCATCTGCAAGTGGTTCCTAATAAACTGGCTTCCCCTAGAGACGAGATTAGTAAGAACACTTAAAGCACAGCATTTAATAATACTAATAGCTTACATCTAAGTGCTTACCTTGTGCCAAGTCCTATTCAGATGCTTTATATGAATTAACTCTTTTGATCTGCAGAGCCAACCCTATAGCCATCATCTCCACACACATGCACTTAGCAATAGAACTTAACTTTTTTTCTTAAATATAAACATATAAAGAGTGAATTCTCAGAAATTCTGTACTTGTTTAATTACCTGAAAGATTTCAGTCTACTTCTATAAAGGATGGGCTTGGGACATATGTGAATGTGTGTGTTCCCTCTGGAAAGTTGTTTTTTTTTTTTTTTAATTTTTTTTTTTTAACGGTTACTTATTTTTGAGAGACTGAGAGAGACAGAGTGTGAGCAGGGGAGGGGCAGAGAGAAAGGGAGACACAGAATCCAAAGCAAGCTCCAGGCTCTGAGCTGTTAGCACAGAGACCGATGCAGGACTTGACCCCACAAACTGTGAGATCCTGACCCAAGCCAAAGTCAGATGCTCAACTGACTGAGCCACCCAGGCGCCTGCCCCCCAGTAAGTTTTAATTCTGATTATCTCTGTAGAATGAGAACGAAATCCAGATTATCACCATGATAACAATAGTCATGTGACTTTAGTTGGGGATGATAAAGTAAAATAGATAAGGAAAAATGAATAGAACTTACCTTTCAGCAATTTCTTGAGCCATGTCATCATTTGCTTTTACAAAATGCAACAGCTCCCTAAAATGGAAAGAATCATTAGTCTCTAAAATATACACTGAGCTAAGAAAGACCACAGACTGAGGTCTATGGTTAATCTCTAGATAGGTGGATAATTGATTATTTCTTTTTTATTTTATCTCATTTTTTAAAATGTTTTATTTATTTTTGAGAGCATACATGTAGGGGAGGGGCAGAGAGAGGAGGACAGAGGATCTGAAGCGGGCTCTGCACTGACAGCAGCAAGCCCAATGTGGGGCTCAAACTCACAAACCACCACATCACGACCTGAACCAAAGTTGAACTCTCAACCAACTGAGCCTCCCAGGTGTCCCTGTTTCTTTTCTAAAGCAAAGACATTTGGGTCCTTACAGGACAAAAACAACAACAACAACAAACAACAACAACAACAACAAAAGTCCCCACACAGGCTAAAGGCAACCTGTTGTAGATTTGGGACATACTTGAGAAAATAGAGAAATATTCAATGATACACATCAAAAATCAATAGTGAAAAAAAATTACCCTCCTGTCTCTTGCTGTAGCCCCTAGAAGAGGGCCCTGGTCTCATGTTTCTGGGCCCTTCCCATATCTCTTCCTCGTTCCTCCCATCATGTGAGAAAATTGGCCTCAGCTTCAGTGGGGTCAGTTCTCACATATCTGAAAGTCTCTTTGATAATATAACAACATCTAATATCCCTATCTTTAGTCTTTGAGAGATAAGCACTTTTCTACTGTGGACTGCCTGAACATTACATTTCAAACTAGCATTAGAGCACTTTTCAGATTAAATCTCACATATAGCCTAGTTGACTGGTAGCACTGTATATACAAACCACATAGAAAAAAAGGCTTTCAGGGCTCCTGGGTGGCTTAGTGAGTTAAGCATCTGCCTTCAGCTCAGGTCACGATCTCACGGTCTGTGAGTTCTAGCCCCTCGTCGGGCTCTGTGCTGCCAGCTCAGAACTGGGAGCTTACTTCGGATTCTGTGTCTCCCTTTCTCTCTGCCCATCCTTTGCTTGCTCTCTGTCTCTCAGTCTCTCTCTCAAAAGTAAATAAACATTGGGGCGCCTGGGTGGCGCAGTCGGTTAAGCGTCCGACTTCAGCCAGGTCACGATCTCGCGGTCCGTGAGTTCGAGCCCCGCATCGGGCTCTGGGCTGATGGCTCAGAGCCTGGAGCCTGTTTCCGATTCTGTGTCTCCCTCTCTCTCTGCTCCTCTCCCGTTCATGCTCTGTCTCTCTCTGTCCCAAAAATAAATAAACGTTGAAAAAAATAAAAATAAAAATAAATAAATAAAAATAAAAAAAAAGTAAATAAACATTGAAAAATTTATATAAAAAAAAACTTTCAAGGGAAAAAGTCCATCAGTAGTAAATGCCTTAAATGGCTGGGGACTTAGAGGCAGATTGGGGAGTCATTAGGCACTCTGCTTGGGGAGAGCCACTCACTGGACATTGGAGAGATCTGTTTTGACTGGGATATAGTGAACCCATGGCTTCAGTTGTGGATAGAAGAATTCAAGCCACTCATCACCAACGTGGAAAACAAGGGAACCACACAGGAAGAGGTGTTTGAACCGGAAACTTGCGGCTACACCTCGAAAATTAAACAGATACCTGGGAAAGAAAGAGCAAAATATATTCAATACTATACACCTGCTACCACAAATAGGATCTTTTTCTTCTTATTCCCTCCTCCCCATCTCTCCTTTTATGACCCCTCTCCCTGCCCTTCCTATTTTCAGGTTTCAAGGACACATCTGCATGTCCCTGTGGGTTTCCAGGGGCTACTGGCTGTTTCAGGGAATATCAGGTGGGGGAGAAAAGAGGATTCTTTCTCCAGACAGACCTAGAGAGGGCCACAAACTGGGTCTAGATAGAGAGATGTAAGGCTCAGATGGAGAGAGTACCTTACCCTTTCCTATGAGCTTTCCTGGGCCTAATGTCTCTAGTGAGTCATGGCTCCCCAAAGCCTTGTTTTTCCCCTGGGGTACCCCACCAAAAGCACCTGCTGTTCCCCTTCTGAACAGAATTCCTCTTCTGAATTCTGGAGAAGAAAACCAGGTATACCTAATCAATCTTCAAAGAAATGCCCCCTGGAAAAAAGCTATCTTAGAAAAGAACATGGTCTTTTCAGCATTTCTCATGCATGCACCCCTATCTCCAACTAGAGTTGCTTCTACCCTAGAGTTCCCACTATGCAGTGTAATCAGCATTCACCTCTCTGAATCCCCCTACTTCCTCCTCCTGACCTGGTTTTACTTGTTCACCTAATCCTTAGTCCTGGCATTGAATTCTAACATTTTAGTTACATATGCTTTATTCATTTTGAAATGTAAACTTTTATTAATCTGATAAATACTTTAACTTTACCTATTGGTTGGATGGGGTGTAGAGAGAAGGAATCCCATCACTTTGGTTGCTAGCAGAAAGGTCTATGGAGGCAGGGACCATTTTTTAGGGTCTCTGCAGTTCCCATAGAACTCAGGTGAGAACCCTGTACATACAGCATGTTCTCATTAAACAACAACCAGATGAATTAATAGGACTTTCATAAACCCCAGTTGGACCTAGTATTAAAGTTCTCTCCCAAAGTGAAGCTATTCCAAATGTAATAGGGAAACCAAGAGTCAGGAGTCCTAGAAGTCTTACTTGTATTTGCAGTGATCCACAAGATGGACATCCTTAGCAGCTGGCTTCCCCAAGGTGTCCTTTAAGCGAAAAGGAAGTTATTAGTATTGAGAGTGGTAGTATTTATTGAAAAGCAGTATGCAGCAAACATAGTTAAGCATTCCATCAACACGACCTCATTTCATTGTCCTGAATAAACACATTCAGAGGAATTATTATCCCATTTTATACATGAAGAAGCCATGGTCTCGAAAAGTTGAGACTTGCTCAGGGTCACGTGGCCCTATGTAGAGGAGCAAGGGTTTTAACCTGGGCCTGTCTGATTTTAGAGTTTAAGCTCCCAGGGCCATGTGGATCCTTCTCTGAACTCAGAGATCCTAACCTACAGCACATTTCACTCTGTGTAAAGTATACATATACGAAGGTACAGGTGGTGGCTGGTGGGCTCAGAGGTAAAACCCACACACAGATTTTGTTGGGGATGGAAAGTATTTAAAAATAAAAATTCAAACCATTGCCAACATTTACAGGTGGTAAGATATTTCTTCCAAAAACCCCGATTTCCAACTTTTCTTGTAAAACATAAAAGGAAGGTCTGGTAAACTGAGCTCCTATTCCCTTGGCGGCGTTGACCAGACCTTTAGCTCTCTCTCCTGCTCACTCCTGTGGCCTCCTGGGGCATCTGAGTTTGAGACCCCCATTTATATCCCAGCTACCTTAGAAGATGGCAAACACTTTGATGAGGGAAACAAGTCTTGTTTGCTTTTGCAGCATCCCACAGTAGAGGCTGTGCTGAATGGATACACTTTTCATATTTTTCTTTTTCTTTTTTTTTTTAATTTTTAAATGTTTATTTATTTTTTATTTTTGAGACAGAGAGAGACAGAGCATGAACGGGGGAGGGTCAGAGAGAGAGGGAGACACAGAATCTGAAACAGGCTCCAGGCTCTGAGCCGTCAGCACAGAGCCCGACGCGGGGCTCGAACTCACGGACCGTGAGATCATGACCTGAGCCGAAGTCGGACACTTAACCGACTGAGCCACCCAGGCGCCCCCATATTTTTATTTTTCAACAAAGTTTGTTAGACTTCATTTGCTCCTGTTTGATTACAACTATCACACATTACATCTCAGATACACTTAGTTTTCCCACAAGAAGTTTAAAACTTCTTTTCATATCATCCTCATATGGCATTTGAAAATTTCAATGAGGACATTTAGGGCTTAAAGTTCTTTGAATAAGGCAAGAAGTCATAGAAGACAGAGATGAACTCCAACCTGAAGGAGCCAGTCATTGCTGGCATTGCCTTAGAATCACTTGGAGAGTTGTAAATAAATTAAGAATATCTTTACATTTCAATTAAGAATATCTTTACGTTTCAAATGCTTGAAAAATACCCAAAGAAGAGTATTTATGACGTGAAAATTACATGAAATTCAAATTTCCATGTCATAAATAAAGTTTTACTAGAACACAGCCAGGCTCATTCATTTACATAGTGTCTGTGGCTGCTTTCACACTGTGATGGCAGAATTGAGTAACTACAACAAGACCATACAATCCACAAAGCCTAACATATTTACCATTTGGCCCTTTCCATAAAAAGTTTGTGTCCTCTGGTTTAAACCTTAAAAGTAGTAAAAAAACAAAACAAAACAAAAACAACAACAGCAACAAAACAACAAAACAAAACCAAAACTACTACTCATAATATGGCCCAGAAAAACAATGTGAGTTTGAAAGAATAATTTACATATATGCTAATACTAGTTTGTGGATCTTTCTCTACATTCATCTATCACTAAGAGGAAACCTGATCTGGAATTCTACCCAGGTGACAATGTTCTTTGAGTGAGAATGTTCACTGCTATGGTTCTATTCAGACAATTGTGATTACTTTCATAGATTTCCAGGCTTGGTTTTTGGTGTATTCTGCATCAACAAGTTTTGGGTTTTTCCGAGATAGAAGAATGAGAGGATCCCGTTCTGGACTTGTCCTATAAAAGAAGCATATGACATAAAACATGTGTCCTCCACCATAATACTGTTCCCAATCTCTAAAAAGTAAGCTGTAATTGGACCCAATGCAATGACTGTACACATAGATGGATAACTTACTGGTTACAGCAGAGGTGGAGGTGGGGGTGGGGGTGGGGGGGTACTGGGCCCTGTGCATATAGGTGTTCCTGCCTGTTTTCCTGGCTATTTACCCTTCAGAGATGGGGAGTATTGGGCCCTTCTTTGCTTACATCTAGTCTTTAAGAGGATGTTGTTCTTTAAATTTTTTTTTTTAACGTTTTTATTTATTTTTGGGACAGAGAGAGACAGAGCATGAATGAGGGAGGGGCAGAGAGAGAGGGAGACACAGAATCAGAAACAGGCTCCAGGCTCTGAGCCGTCAGCCCAGAGCCTGACGCGGGGCTCGAACTCCCGGATCGCGAGATCGTGACCTGGCTGAAGTCGGATGCTTAACCGACTGCGCCACCCAGGCGCCCCTGTTGTTCTGAACTCTACAGGCATATCCCAGGGAATGAGTTCCCTTTTGGGATGGCTCATGTAGTGTCTATATTCACTAGTACTCACAGCTGTGTGACTAGGTAATCACCCCTCACCAAAATAGCTACATGACCTTTGTTGTGTGTATTTCGTAAAGTCCAGTGTAATATTTAAATTAAAAAGAAAACTAAAGGGCTAAAACCTGTAGAAAAAGTCCTAGTTATGGTCCAAGTAGGAGATGGTCCTGACATTTGAGAGGTCCTGGATACCTCTCCCGCCCTCCCCCCCCGACCTGCCATGGACCCACTCTCTAGAAAAGCGGACATATCCCTATATAATTTATAGGAAGTCCTAGAACTCTTCAAGTCCACACATGGATCCCAAATTAAGAAGCTGTGATCTTAAGATCTGAGAATCAAGAGAAGTTGATAAGGACCAGTAAGCAGTGGCTACTGGGCCTATCTACATTCTCAAGTTCACTGCCTCAATAGAGGGTATGATCTCCAACAAGGACTCACCAGGAAAACGACAAGACCCTTCTCCTTTCACGGTCCCTGTTCTGTTCATCTATACAACAGATGGTCTTCATGTATCTACATGGCAGGTACTATTCTTGGCACTGGGGATGTGGGTCTGAGTAACATTGAGAGGGTCCTTGACCAACATTTCCCTTTCCCTCCTCCCTTTCTTCCCTGCTTCCCTTTCCATTTTCATCAGTCTCAGTCTGTGGTCTCCACCATTATTTGGCAGCCACATGGCCTCATGGAAAAAGGAGTCAGGAGATCTGGTGATGGTTCCTGATCCACCATTAACTAGCACAGTGACTAGAAGAGGTCCAGGTCAGAAGCTACCCATAGGATACTATATTCTCTTAGGCAAGAGGACAACTCAGCTGTTCTCTTCAACATACATTCAATGCCTAATATACTCATGGCACTCTAAATACCTATTCAATGAATAAATGAATGAACCTTACTTCTTTCAATTCCAATTCAACTAAGAGTGATTTGGGCAAAAAATTTAAATTCTCTGTCTAAAATTCTGTGCTTCTACATTTATTTCTTAGTTATCTTAGTTTTCTCTTTGAACTAGAGATCTTCACACCCTCAAAATTGCTTATATTTTACAAATTTCTTTGTAAAATGCCAGAAAATATAGTCACCTTGATCCTCGGAAATATGCTGTAGAGTTTTTCTTCTTCCATGGCCACTGTGCTGCTGACCTAAAAATAGATTTCAGTTAGTTTCTATGTTTTTCTCTTAACCAAATGAGGACGTGTTTTAACCACTTCTGAAGATTAGTTCAGAGCTTTACATTTTTCATTAAGTCTGACCGAGGCTTTCAAAAGAAAGAGCCCTCAATGACATTATATTTTCCCTTTGTTGTTGCTTCATTCCTTTGGAAATGCTAGCCAATAATATCTACAATCTGTTCCTCCGTTAATAAGTTAACAACATTGAAAGAAAAGTTCCCAGCCCCTAAATGACATGTTTAGAGCTATTTAATGCATACAATCAGGATTTCTTCTCTGCTTTATGTAGAGTGGTGCTATTGATAAACTTAATAGGCAAAGAGACCTGCAGAAAATATCAGAAATTGAATTAAGGGCAATAAAACAAATCACTCCTTGACCTCGTGTTTAGGATGCATAGGCAGCATCTTTAGAAACATGTCTGATATTGCAAAGCACCCTGTATTCTTGAAACTGTCCTAAGTGCTCCATGAAACAAAGTCCCTGAAACTCAGGTCTCAGTACGTACTACCATGACCAGCTTTTCTTGCTGAAGCTGCTAGTTCACAGATGCAGCATTTTTAACTTCCTTTGTAGGGGCCCTGCACAGGGTTGCATGGTGTCTTCCTCTGAGAAATGAGGGGGACAGCTGAATTGGAGTTAATGAGGGATTGCTGGACTATTTACCATAATGGAGAGACTTAGGATATAAACTTTTTAGGTAGAAATACTTTTAAAGACATAAATGTCACATTACTCAGCTTCTCTCAGCTGAGAGCATTGCTCATTTTCGTGGCCTATCTCATAGGTTTTCCTTGCTATACCATCTTTTCCTGATTCTACAATCCAAAGCCAAAACTATCTCTCATTGTGCCCCATACTCCCTCCCACCGAAACATAAATGCTATACCACTGGGTTATTTTTGTTTACTGGGTTTTTGTTTTTTACTGGAAATATGGTATATGCTCATTTTTTATAAATATAAAATTCTTTTTTAAGTTTATTTTATTTATTTTGGGGGGGATGTGAGTAGAGGAGGAGCAGAGAGAGAGAGAGAAAGAGAGAGAGAGAGAGAGAGAGAGAGAATCCCAAGTGGGCTCTGCACTGTTAGCACAGACCCAACATGAGGTTTGATTCCATGAACCATGAGATCATGACCTGAGCTGAAACCAAGAGTTGGACCCTTACCGACTGAGCCACCCAGGAGCCCCTATATAAGATTCTAATGGAAAAGCATAAAATAAAAGTAGAAAAATCATCTGGAACCCTCCTGCCCATAGATAACCATTTTTACCAATTTAACGTCTCAGTGAAGAATTTCCTTCCAATCAAGTCTCCATATCAGTGGTTCTCAATTGGTGACTTTGCCCCGTTCCCCCAGAAGACATTTGGCCATGACTATAGACATTTTTGATTGTCACTACTGGGGGACTGCTACTGGCATTTAGTGTCATTAAGACACTAATGGGGTGCTGCTAACTATCCTGCAAGGACAGGATAGTTATGCACAGGACAGACCCCTGCAACAAAGAATGATCCTATCCAAAATGTCAATACTACCAATATTGAGAAACCTTGCTCTATATAATGCAGATATTTTATATATATTATATATTATATATTATATATTATATATTATATATTATATATTATGTATTATATATATACCCATTCTCACAATGCTTGAGGTGGTTTTGTTATTCCTAATTTACAGCTGAGGCTCTTGAGAGGGTAAGCAGTTTGCCCAGAGTCACACAGCTGATAAGAGCCAGAGTATAAACCCAGAGTCCCTGTTTTTAAGCCCTATGCTACCTTTACTTTGCATTCAGGCACAACATTCCATTTTATAGCCATGCCATAATTCACTTCATTACTTATTCATGGGCTTTTAGGTAGTGTCTAACTCTTTGCTTTAAGAAACAATACTGTAGTGAATATCTTTGTGTACCTACCTTTACATACTTGTCCAATTAACTCTTTGGGATAAGTTCTAGAAGTGAAATGGCTGGGTCAAAGATATATACATTTTATATTTTGATATACATTGCCAAACCACCCAATAAAAAAGTACCAATTTATACTGAAATTCTGAGTATAAATTTCCTTGGTCCCTGGGAAAACTGTATTTAATATACACAGACTTGTACCATCTCTGTTTTCTCTCTCCCTCATTCTTTCTACCCACCTACTTACCCTCAAAAGACCTATGTTAGGACTTTTTTCCCCAGGCAAGTGCTAAAAGTGGCCAACACAGCCTGGGGCTGCCCCAGACCTCTTTTATAACCATCCTCCCTACCTCCTATGACAGTAGAGACATAAATCTTTAAAATACAGAAACAGTGAATTCTTCTACGGAGTGAAAAGTAAGTCAATAGGGACAAACTCCCAAAAGATTAGAAAAAATAGCAGGCAGACATCAATGCAGAAAAACAAGGAGATTTTTAAAGTTTCAAAGTAAGAAGTGAAATCACATAGCTAGAGCTTTTGAATGGAGGGCTCTAAAATATAAAATTATAATTCTGGGGGCACCTGGGCGGCTCAGTCGGTTAAGCGTCTGACTTTGGCTCAGGTCATGATCTCACGGTTTGTGAGTTCGAGCCCCACATCGGGCTCTGTGCTGACAGCTCAAAGCCTGAAGCCTGCTTCGGATTCTGTGTCTCCTTCTCTCTCTGCCCCTCCCCCACTTGTGCTCTGTCTCTCTCTATCAAAAATAAATAGATGTATAAAAAAATATTTTTTTAAATTACAATTCTGCAATCATGAATAAATTCACCTGAAGAATAAGAGGGGACGATATCAAAAGAAAAATATGTTCTTGTAAGTTTAGATTTTAAAACATAATCAATCTCCCTAAAATAAGCTTAGTGGTTTTCAAGGGAGGAAAAAAGAGTACGTAGTGGAGGAACTGGTAACACCTTGACTAGGTGATCAAAATTAATATCTCTAAAGAGTTAAGGATGGGGGCACCTGGGTGGCTCAGTTGGTTAAGCATCCACCTCTGGATTTCAGCTCAGGTCATAATCTCACAGTTTGTGAGACTGAGCTCTGTCAGCACAGAGCCCAGATTCTCTTTCCCTTTCTCTCAGCCCCTCCCCCACACACTCTGCCTCTCTCAAAATAAATAAATAAACATTAAAAAAAAAAAAAAAGAAGAGTTATAGATGGATGCAAAAATCACTTAGGTAAGTATTAAGGCCAGCAATGCATAAGCTGAATCTAATCATGAGGAATAGACAAAACTAAACTGAAGAACATTCTATAATGTATGTGGCCTGTATTCTTCGAAATGTCAGTGTTATGAAAGAGAAAGACAGACTGAAGAGCTGTTCCAGATTACAGGAGACTAAACAGAAATAATAACTAAATGCAACACATGAGCCTGGATTGTATCCTGTACTGGAGGTAGAATGTGCCATACAGGACATTATTGGGATAATTAGGTGTTGTACCAATATTGTTTCCTGAATTTGATAATTGCAGCATGGTTATAAAGGAGAATATCCTTGCTATTAGGAAATACACACTAAAGTATTAAGATGTACAGGGTCATAAGGTATGCAACTTACTCTCAAATAGTCCAGAAAACAAGAAATTATGCATATATTACACATAGCCTAAAAGTCTATCATAGGAAATAATGAGGTAAATTATTATCCATGCAAAGGAATACCATGTAACTAATAAAAATAATGAGGTAGTTTCATATGTACTGACATGGAAAGATCCCTAAAACACACTAAGAAGTGGGGGGAAAAGATGCCGATGTTAGACATACTTCTTTATTTTTATGAGCATATATAGGTTTCATAATCAGAAAAAAAGGTTGTTTTTAAAGATTTAAAAAACAAAGTAGGGTGCCTGGATGGCTCAGTTGATTAAGCGTCCAACTCAATTTTGGCTCAAGTCATGATCTCACAGTTGTAAGATCGAGCCCTGCATGGGGCTCTACACTGAGCATGGAGCCTCCTTGAGATTCTCTCTCTGCTTCTCACTCAGCCCCTTCCCTGCTTGTTCTCTCTCTCTCTGTCTCAAGAAAGAAAGAACGAAAGAAAGAAAGAAAGAAAGAAAGAAAGAAAGAGAAAGAAGAAAGGAAGGAAGGAAGGAAGGAAGGAAGGAAGGAAGGAAGGAAGGAAGGAAGGAAAAAAAGAGAAAAAACAAAGTAGATGGATAGCAGGTAGAAAAAGAGCTACAAAAAAGAAGAGTGTAAAAAGTGTATTTGCAAGTACCTGAAAAAAAAAAAAAGGATTAGATAACTAAAGCCAAGAATAACTTGAAGAAAAACAGGTTAAAAAACTTGTTATTTTTCCCTCTGGAGAGGATGGGTAAGGTTAATTGGTAATGTGGAGAAGATAATGCACTTGGATACCAGGACTTCAGGCCTAGATTGGTTCCTGACGTTGACCAAGTCACTCAACCCCTGAAGTAAAGAGTTGGAAAGGACAATTTCCAGTTCTAGTTCTGTGAAGTATGAGACCAAGGTATTTTACAAAATCATTTTCAAAGTACACCTACCAGATAACAGACTCATTTTTTACCTGGTGGCTCTAACCGCCATTGAGGACTTCAGCCCTATGTGTTTCTTTAGAAAAGGGACATTCTTCTCACCCCCTTTGAATCTCCAGCCACACATGGTACAGGTGATAGATATTTGTGGAAATGAAGTTAAATTAAATTTTTGCTTCCTCAATGGACCTGAGAGAGGACCTATAAAGACTGTATTTCTTCTAGAAGTTTTCTGTTTAGGTATCAATGTTGTTTAAATCATAAATGCAAAATGTAGCTAGGTAAGAAATACCTATAGCTTGGATGACATGGACAATCTAAATTCTGAAATGACATCAGATAGACTCAACAGCCCAAGCATGTCTCAGTCGTGAATCAGGAGAATCTGGAATAAGTTTGTACTTGAGATAATTATGGGACAATATGTCCTCCCCATCTCCACCTTAAGGACTTAGATCTAAGTTATAAAGTACATTTATGTTCCTCCTAGTAATTTTCTATTCTCCCCCACAACATGGTCATTCACTTTTTTCAAATTATGAAAGTAATTCACTCTTATTTGGAGAATCTTAAAAATACAGAAAAATTTAAAGACGAAAAGAAAAGGCTCCTATACTCCTTTCCCCAAAGGCATTACTGATACTTTAGGGTAGGCTCTGCTCTTTTCCTATGAATGGGTAAATATTTTATACACACACAAAATTGCTTATGCTATAGTTTTTCTTTTGTTTTTAACTTAAACAAACATTAGTTTATTTCAAGAAGACCTACAAAGAAGGACAAATAAAACCTCTCTAAAGGACCTACCTTACCAGATCTTCTCTGAAGAGGTCCCACCGTCCAAGACCTGTAGGATAAATTGGCCAAACAGCAGGCCCCCCTTCCCAAAATGTCCAAGCAGGATACATGATATCATGGTACTCTGATGTCTTCAACAGAAACAGAAAGGTTGTTCTACATCAGTCTCAGAACAGAGAGAGAAGAATTAAACTACAGTCATGCCACAGTATCTGGACAAAAGTCTTGCTCTAGTATTAAATTGCCAAAAGTATATTTTCCTTTGTCTGCAAAGTCTGGACTCTAGACATTAAAAGAGAAAAATGACCGTGGGTTAAAAATCATGGGCTCACTGAATCCCAGAATTTAAAATCTCATTAAAGGTCAACTTTTCCAGTTACCCAAAGTTCTATTTGTTAGGGTTTTTAGTTTAAGGAAACAAAATACCTAACTCTGAATCATCACACAGCTCTTTTATCTTTTAACTGCTATTACATTTGGAGTATATACTGTCTTACCAGTCCCTGATTATTTCCTAGATGGATCTTTTGAGAGCAAGCATCACAATTAAATGGTTAAAATGGTAGGGGCTCTTGAAACAGATCATCTGGGTTTGAATGCTGACTCAAAATGCTGACTCTACTTCTTTCCAACTCTAGGCAAGTTACTTAATTTTTCTATGCCTGCTTTATCTTTATGATGGGAGAAATAATACCAATAATGTTACCTATCTAATGGGCTTACTAAATGAGTTAGTACATGTGAAAAACTTAGACCAGTGTTTGGTACATAGTAAGTACTCAGTAAGTGTTCATTAGTGTTATCTAATACTGTGGTACTGTTGAGCTCGCCCTGGTTGGTCAATAAATTATTGATTATTTGTTGATCAGGACCAGAAGTGCTGATGGGCAGAATGGGAGAAAGGGATATTATCCCACATCTTTTGAAAAAAGTTTTAAATCATTTGTTCTCTTTTTATGATTACTTCTGTTAAAACTCTGGCCTGATAAACCTCTAACTCTTCAGTAGTTTCACTGGAATTACACATGCAATATGCTGTTTGCCTTTCTCAAATACTTTTGAAAAATGGTATGTGATTCATAAAGCAGCTCAGACGTAACAGCTGCTCAATAGAAGCTGTACAATTACTATAAAGTTGAAAGACTAAAAGCTTTCTCTTGGGAATTAGAAGTCACTGGCTTAGAAACAAAAAGAGAAGATGAAAAGAAAGTATACTGATTGTTATACTTTACCATACACAGAAACAACAAATAGATAACAAGCATAAAGTCCTTACTGACTTACATGGGAGCTTCTATCTGTTCTTCTGGGAGGGTTTCATGACAAACAAGAAAACCAAGTACTTTTGAGAAATGAGGCTAAATCATGGGAAATGCAAAACAAATGTGGCCTCAGCCCATTTGCAACACAGTAAATACACAAGTCTACAGAGAAAGTAAACTGTGATAAAGAAAAAGTGGGGATAAAAGGTCCTTCTTTGGAGAAACCACATCAGAGATGGTGCTCCTTTTCTCAAAGTCCATCGGGTTTTCCTAAACCCTCCCTTCCCCCATAGAATCTTCCACCCATTCTCTTCTAGCCCTCCCACCCCACCCCTAAATGTGGCCATACCTAGTCTCAAGGGAACCAAGGCCCATGCCTTCCAATACACATTTGCAACAACCTGGGCACTGAGAAGATATTAACTATCTCAAATTCTTCAAGTCCACAGGTGTGAACTAGTACTCCTATTCCTCCATAACTAGACTCAAAGCTCACCCTCTCACATATTCCTCTTGGATATCCCAGACCTATCCCCTCAATGTACTGCTTCAGCACAAACTGTGTGGAGTTATCCACCACCTTCAGCTTCACTGTTAGCCATGCTGGGCCCCTGGGATACACTGACAGATAGGACTACACACACACACACACACACACATATGGGAGTTCAACAAATAGTTTTTGAATGAAGGTGTTCTCTAACTCCAAGCCCATGAGCTATTTTGAGCCACTCTCTCCCTATGTTCTGTAGGATCTCTAAACCTTTCCTTCAATGTCCTATCAGTTCTTTAGGCGTCCATTATTCTCTCCCCTTCATCCCTAGACCTATAGACACTTAAGCAATCTTTTTACCCATTTCCTCAGTCTTATTGCTCAGCCACTGTGAAGCTAAGAGGGACACAGGCCAATTCCTGGACCTCAGGCGTCACCCTCACCATTACCCAGCAGATTCTGTCATAGGACAATCATCTCCTACTCATACTCTAGAGGAACACCTCCCATCTCCCCATACATCTCTCCCTATACTGACCTTACTGAAGGAGAAGACTGGAATGGCAGGCTCCATCCATTTAGGAACCTGAGGATAATCTCGTACATTGATCACCATTTCCATGTCAGGGAGGCGTCCGATAACTTCCAAAATAAAGTGTTCAACACCACTACACCTGTCAACCAGAAATACCACATATTCACCAGATCAGTGCCTACTATAGGACAAGACATGGTCCCATTCACACTTTGAAAGCCCGTGTTCAGATCGTCAGCCTTCTGCAAAGTTTCCTGAAAGCAATGCTTCTAAAAGGACTTTTCTACTCTCTTATATTGTGCAAGGCATCTTTCCTAGCTAAACTGCTTCAGCTTACAACACTTCATGAAGTTTTCCAGTTAGATCATAAGTCTGAAAGATGTATTATTGCTACTCCTACCACTTTTCCTCTATTCATCCCTAGTTTTTAAAAATTTCCTCTTTAGTTTAATTAGGAAGCAAGATACAAATTTTGATAGTAACCAGAAAAAGCTAATTCTCTAAGTGTGTCCCTAGGGCTTTGCCTCTCACAAAGACATTATATTTATATCCACCATAATTAAGTTTCATAATTTAGGAGGAAAGATAGGAAAACTTTTATTGCCTTTGAGTTGAATACTTCAGAACACTATCAAAATCAGTTTTGCAAGCCAGAAAGAATGCTATGTACACAATCACAAAGACTGTAATACAGGCATACTTGAGAGATACTGTAGGTTTGGTTCCAGACCATCACAATAAAGCAAATATGGCAATAATGCAAGCCAAGAGAATTTTGGGGTTCCCAAGTACAATAAAAGTTACGTTTATACTATACTGTGGTCTATTAAGTGTGCAATAATAGTATTATGTCTAAGAAAACGATGTGCATATCTTAATGAAAGACACTTTATTGATAAAAAATGCTAAGAATCATCTGAGCTTTCAGCAAGTTGTGATTACTGATCACAAATCACCATAACAAATATAATAATAATAAAGTTTGAAACATTGAGAAAATTGTTCCAAAATATGACCCAGAGATGTGAAGTGAGCAAATGCTGTTAGAAAAATGGCACCAATAAACTTGTTAGATGCAGGGTTGCCAAAAACCTTCAATTTATTAAAAAAATGCAGTATCTGCAAAAGGCAATAAAGTGAAGCCAAATAAAACAAGGTTTGCCTGTATACTTTTCTGGCTGGACTCCCCAGGAATCCTCAGAGGAACTCTGGAAAGAGAGGATACACTGGCAGATTAGCTTTTCTGCCCCATCCCTTGAGGTCCTGACCACCACTATCCTGGAGGGAACATTACAAGGTTTGACCAAAATTTTCCAGTAGCATATAAATGACTGATTCATGAAATTGATTTATATAGAGAGAGGTAACTGCAAAAAATATCAATGATTCATAAACGAAAGAAAAGATGCTCAACTGTATTAAAGAATGTCCCAGAAGCACCTGGGTGGCTCAGTTGGTTAAGCGTCCAACTCTTGATTTTGGCTCAGGTCATGATCTCATGGTTCATGAGACTGAGCCCTACATTGAGCTCCATGCTGTGTGTGGAGCCTTTAAGATTCTCTCTCTCTCCCTCCCTCTGCCCCTCCCTTGCTCCCCATAACCCAAACTTGTAAAAACAGAGAATGAAATGGTGGTCACCAAGGGATGGGGGGAACAGGACAGATGCTGCTTAAGGGTACAAACTTACAACAAGTAGTGAATATGCCCTAGAGATCTAATGCACAGTATAGTGAATATAGACAACAATACTGTATTATAATCAAACTTGCTAAAAAACCAAAATTTAATTATTCCAACTACTAAAACGAAAGGATAATTATGTAATTAGTGCTACAATGGGAATCATATATAAATGTGTCAGATTAACATGTTGTGTACCTTAAATGTATATATGTCAAATATATTTCAATTAAAAATTTAGTTTTTTAAATTTTTGTTTAATGTTTTATTTATTTTTGAGACAGAGCATGAACGGGGGAGGGTCAGAGAGAGAGGGAGACACAGAATCTGAAGCAGGCTGCAGACTCTGAGCTGTCAGCACAGAGCCCAATGTGGGGCTCGAACTCATGGACCATGAGATCGTGACCTGAGCTGAAGTCGGACGCTTAACCGACTGAGCCACCCAGGTGCCCCTCAATTAAAAATTTAAAAACAAAGTATCACTATGACAAAAAAAAAAAAAAGTGCTATTGAAGCTAGGTGCTAGTCTTCACCAATCAGACTGACAAAGATCAGAGTCCAATAATACACAGTATTGATGAAAGTATGAGGTCTATTCTGAGCATGTAATACAAGGGTGGTGGAAGTGAAAATAGGCACAACTTTGGGATGGCTGGCTGGCTCACTGGGTGTCATGGGTTCAAGCCCCATGTTGGGTGTAGAGATTACTTACAAAACAAAAAAGAAAAAGTATATAAAAGAAGAAAATAGGCACAACTCCTTTGGAAGACAGTCTGTTTCTATTCATCAAGATTTAAAAAACACATTAGTTGACCTACTAATCCTACTTGTAGGAATTGAGCCTGCAGATATAATTACATGAGTACTCAAAGGTTTAAGTTCACTACAGCATTGTTTACATGTGTTAAAATTCAAAGGGGAATGGTGGAGAATAATTTAAATGTCCTTCGATAGAGGGCTGAATAAAGAAATCCACACAATGGATCAGTATGCAGCCATGGAATAGTGAGATATACTCTATGTACTCATAAGGAACAATTTAAAAATATGTTATATGAAAAAGAAAAGTAAGTTGCAGAACAGAAGATACACATGTTCTATTTTGTTGATGAGTCTAGACAACTGTATATGCATAAACTATTTCTAGAAGGATATACAAGAAACTTGTAATCATGGTTGTCTTTTGAGAGGAGGACTCAGGGACTAGAGGTTTGGGGGTTGAAGGTAGTAGAGAAACTTCCATTTCCTTGTTCATATTTTCAGGTTATCTAAATATTTTACCATGTGCAAGGAACAGTCCTTTGATGATAAAATAAACAAATAGAACTAGTTAGAAGTTTAAAAAATATAATGTTGCTATACATTTACATTTAAAAGCTAAAACATTTTGTTTTCTTTCATGTTCAGCTTTTAAAATAGCACTCTTTCACAAACTGTATAATGCCGTTTATGATTCCTTTTATATAAAACTCTAGGAAATGATCTATAATGATAGAAGGCAGATCAGTGGATGCCTGAGAATAGGGGTAAAAGGACAGCATGGCAGGGAGGGGTAGGAGAGAATGATTGCAAAGAGGCACAAAGAAATTTTTGGGAGTGACAGATACATTATCTTGGTGTACACATACAGCAAAACTTATCAAATTATAATTGTATTAAAAAGAATAAAATACCAAAAAAAGGAATAAAATATCTAGTCATAAATTTAACTAATGAGATAGAAGACCTGTACTCTGAAAACTGTAAGACATTGATGGAAGAAATTTAAGATGACACAAATCAATGGAAAAATATACCATGCTCATTGATTGGAAAAATTAATATTGATAAAATATCCATGCTACCCAAATCTACAGATTCAATGCCACTATCAAAATACCAATATCATTTTTCACAGAACAAGGACAGATAATCCTAACATTTGTATGGAACCACAAAAGACCCTTAATAGCCAAAGCAATCTTGAGAAGGAAGAACAAAGTTGGAGGTATCACAAGCCCAGGTTTCAAACTATACTACAAAGCAATAATAATCAAAACAGTATGGTACTGGCACAAAAATAGGCACACAGATCACCAGAACAGAATAGAAAGCCTAGAAATAAACCCACGCTTGTATGGTCACTTAATCTTTAACAGAGGAGACAAGAATATACAATGGAGAAAAAAATAACCTCTTCAATAAATGGTGTTGGGAAAACTGGACAGCTACACACAAAAGAATAAAACTGGACCACCTTCTTACACCATATACAAAAACAAACTCAAAATGGATTGAAGACCTAGGTGTAAGGCCTGAAACCATGAAACTCCTGAAAGAAAACATAGGCAGTAAACTCTTGGACACTGGTTTTAGCAATATTTTTTTAGATCTGTCTCCTCAGGCAAGGGCAACAAATGCAAAAATAAGCAATTAGGACTACATCAAACTAAAAAGCTTTTTCACAGTGAAGAACACCATCAACAAAACAAAAAGCAACATACTGAATGGGAGAAGATATTTGCAAAATATCTGGTGAAGGGTAAATATCAAAAATATATAAAGAACTCATTCAACTCAACACCAAAAGACAAATAATCCAATGAAACAATGGGCATAGACATTTTCCAAAGAAGATGTACAGATGTCCAACAGACACATGAAAAGATACTCAACATTACTAATCATCAGGGAAATGCATATCAGAACCATAGTGAGATATCATCACCAGTCAGAATGGCTATTATCAAAAAGATAAGAAATATTAGGGGCACCTGGGTGGCTCAGTTGGTTAAGCATCCAACTTTGGCTCAGGTCATGATCTCACAATTTGTGGGTTGAAGCCCTGTGCCGGGCTCTGTGCTGACAGCTCAGAGCTTTGAGCCTGCTTCAGATTCTGTGTCCCCCCTCTCTCTCTTCCCCTCCCCTACTTGTGCTCTGTCTCTTTGTCTCTCAAAAATAAATAAACATAAAAAAAATTTCTGGGGCACCTGGGTGGCCCAGTTGGTTGAGCATCCAACTTCGGCTCAGATCATGATCTCACTGCTTGTGAGTTCAAGCCCTCCATCGGGCTCTGTGCTGACAGCTCAGAGCCTGGAGCCTGCTTTGGGTTCTGTGTTTCCCTCTCTGCCCCTCTCCTGTTCGTGCTCTGTCTCTCTTATGTTTTATTTTATATAAAATAAAACATAAAAAAATAAAATAAAAATAATTTAAAAAACATTAAAAAAATTTTTTAAGTATTAAAAAAATAAGAAATAATAATTGTTGGAAAGAAAGGATATGAAGAGAACCCTCATGCACTGTTGGTGGGAATGCAAATTGGTGTAGCCACTGTGGAAAACATTATGGAGGTTCCTCAAAAAATTAAAAATGGAAATACCTATGATTTGGTAATTTCACTTCTGAGTATTTACCCAAGGAAAACAAAAATACCAATTTGAAAAGATATATACACTCTTGTGTTTACTGCAGCATTATTTATAATACTACATATGGAAGCAACTTAAGTGTCCATTGATAAATGATATAGATATAATATATATATACATATATATATAATACATATATCTACATGTATATAATGGAGTGAATATATATAATGGAATGAATATATATATGTACATATATATATAATGGAATGAATGAATATATATGTAATTAAATGAATGAATACATATATGTGTGTGTGTATATATATACATATATATGTATATATATATAATGGAATATTACTCAGCCATAAAAAAGAATGAGATCTTGCCATTTGCAACAACATGGATGGACCTAGAAGTTATTATGCTAAATGAAATAAGTCAGACAGAGAAAGACAAATACCATATATAAAAAACCTTAATGGGGCGCCTGGGTGGCGCAGTCGGTTAAGCGTCCAACTTCAGCCAGGTCACGATCTCGCGGTCCGTGAGTTCGAGCCCCGCGTCAGGCTCTGGGCTGATGGCTCAGAGCCTGGAGCCTGTTTCCGATTCTGTGTCTCCCTCTCTCTCTGCCCCTCCCCCGTTCATGCTCTGTCTCTCTCTGTCCCAAAAATAAATAAACGTTGGAAAATAAAAAAAAAAACCCTTAATAAATAAAAATAAATAAAACCTTATGATTTCACTTACATGTGGAATCTAAAAAACAAAATACATGAATAAACAAACGAAAAGCAGAAACAGACCCATAAATACAGAGAACAAACTGATGGTTGCCAAAGCAGAAAGATGTGAGCGGATGGGCAGAATGGATGAAGGTGTGTAGGAGATACAGGCTTCCAACTATGGAATAAATAAGTCATGAGGATAAAAGGTACAGCATAGGAAATACAGTCAATGGTATTGTAATAGTGTTGTATGTTTACAGATAGTAACTACACTTGTGGCAAGCATAGCATAGCATATAGAATTGTCCAGAATCACTATGTTATTCACCTGTTACTAACGTAACATTGTGTGTCAACTGTACTTCAATAAAAAAAGTCAGGAAGATGAAAAGTATAGCATAGGGAATATAGTCAGTAATATTGTAATAACATTGTATGGTGACAGGTGATACCTACATACATTATGGTAAGCATTTTACGATGAATATACATGTTGAATCACTATGTTGTACACTTGAAACTAATATAATATTGTATGTCAACTATACTTCAATTAAAAATTAATTTTTTAAAAAGATAATGAACACAAAAAACTTACCAAGTTGTATACTTTAAATATGTGCAGTTTAGGGAAACCAAAGCAAAAATAAACTATTGGGACCTCATCAAAATAAAAACCTTCTGCACAGTGAAGGAAACAATCAGCAAAACTAAAAGGCAACTGACAGAATGGGAGAAGATATTTGCAAATGACACATCAGATAAAGGGTTAGTATCCAAAATCTATAGAGAACTTACCAAACCCAACACCCAAAAAACAAATAATCCAGTGAAGAAATGGGCAAAAGACATGAATAGACACTTCTCCAAAGAAGACATCCAGATGGCCAACCGACACATGAAAAAATGCTCAACATCACTCATCATCTGAGAAATACAAATCAAAACCACAATGAAATACTACCTCACACCTGTCAGAATGGCTAACATTAACAACTCAGGCAACAACAGATGTTGGCAAGGATGCGGAGAAAGAGGATCTCTTTTGCACTGTTGCTGGGAATGCAAACTGGTGCAGCCACTCTGGAAAACAGTATGGAGGTTCCTCAAAAAATTAAAACTAGAACTACCCTACAACCCAGGAACTACAGTACTAGGTATTTATCCAAGGGATACAGGTATGCTGTTTCGAAGGGACACATGCACCCCAATGTTTATAGCAACACTATCAACAATAGCCAAAGTATGGAAAGAGCCCAAATGTCCACTGATGGATGAATGGATAAAGAAGATATGGTATATATATACAACAGAGTATTACTTGGCAATCAAAAAGAATGAAATCTTGCCATTTGCAACTATGTGGATGGAAATAGAGGGTAAGTGAAATTAGTCAGATAAATATCATATGACTTCACTCATATGAGGACTTTAAGATACAAAACAGATGAACATAAAGAAAGGGAAGCAAAAATAGTATAAAACAGGGAGGGGGATAAAACATAAGAGACTCTTAAATATAGAGAACAGAGGGTTGCTGGAGGGGTTGTGGGAGGGGGGATGGGCTAAATGGGTAAGGGGTTTAAGGAATCTACTCCTGAAATCATTGTTGTACCATGTGCTAACTTGAATGTAAATTATAAAAAAATAAATAAATTATAGAAAAAAATAAATATGTGCAGCTTATATTAGCCACACTTCACTAAAACTATTATTTTAAAAATATCATTATTCTCAACCTTTGAAATGACATGTCTCCAGTCATTTAATTAGATGGTGCTCTGGTTCCTCAGCAAAATCTCTCAGCTCATCCTTGAAATGCTGAGTTTATATTTTACTTTGTTCACAATAAAGTTTTTTAAATGCAATCTGGGCTTCTCCAACTGGGTGATTTAAAATTATCCAGACCTAGAAAGATACTGTTTTTGGCTAGATGGGAATCAAAGATATTATTCAACTGTATCCATTTCATTAAGGACACTGGTTCTGAATATTTCATTTTGTTTCTTCTTTGCCCAACTCTCTTTTCTTAGTTGTGTATGTAGTTGAGACAGGGAACTTTCCATGCATTAGAAATATAACTATTTTATTGTCAATGAAAGGTCCTATGCTCCCTTAGGAACATTTCTAACAGCTCATGATTCTTACCAAAATGTTCTGAGGTCTGGAATGAGAGGTATGTGCCTTTCAGAAACTTTGAGAGTATTTTATTTCATTTGGAAATTGCTCATCTAACTATTAAACATTAGTTAAGCCTTCAAAGTCTAATAATGTCTACATTCATATTTTCTTTCTCATTTGTAGAAATTAGAAATTCTTCTATACTCATAATTTATAAAGTTGAAACAAATGTCTGTTTAAAATACTTCAATAATTTTCCCCATTACAAGCTTATTTACCCCTAACACTTGATAACAAAAGTGTAATTGTGATTACTTCACTGTAATGGGATTTTAAGTGATCTTTATTTTCTTTTTTGTTGTTGTTTTTACATATTTTTGACAATTAAAATGCAGTAATTTGTAATAAAGTTGTTATTAAGAATAATTCCTTATGTCCACATGGATGCACGTTATTTGCAATACTGCTCATATACTTTCCTTTTAATGACAGAATAGAGATTGTTTAGAAAGATCTTAGGCTGAGAATACCATGGCCTCTGATTTTTGTACTTTGTAATTTTATAAATTTTGAGTTAAAAAAAAAAAAAAAAGACTCCTAAAAGGGAGGTTTCTTATTTGTTGTATAAACATGTAATGCTACCTAAGTCCAACTTCCAGGATTAGTCCATGACCCTCCCTGCTCATCCCCAGCCCTCAGCCCACTGATATGTTACCTCAACCACCACACCTGAATTCCTGGCTAGTGTAGCCTGTGTAATCTGCAGCCTCAGTTATTCTTGACTTTCCACCACCTTTCTTCAAATACTCAGTATCTAGAACAATACTTGACCCATGAAAAACACTCAATCCTTCTCCTTCTTCAGCCCAGCTCAATCCTGCTAGGTCTCATCAGCCTGTGCCCTGCAGCATCCATTTCTGGATGATGAGAAGGGTAGAACCATAGCCAGTACAACCAGTGATTGTGCCCAAGCCTCAAGAAGAGAGAGGAGACAGACTTTAATATAGGAGAAAGGGGGGCAGGAGTTGGAAAGAAAAATCCTCAGGCAGGAAGAGTTTGTCACTATTTTGCAGTCCCTCTGAAATATGAGGAGATTCACCTGTGGGGCCCTCTAATTAACTCCTCTCTAAGAACAGTATCAAATAAGCCCATATATAAGAAGGTCAGAAGATATATTTACCTCATAGCTCTTACCTCGAGGGGAACATGCAGTCATTTTCTCTGTATAATCTGTTCTTAATAATCTGATAGTGGGTCCCCAGTTTCCGTCTGACTACCTCTGCCATCATCTTCCTGGAGATACCTCCTCGAAAAGGAGTTAGATCCTCTTCTATGACACTGAAAGAATGTGAATCGTCAAGGACAGCAGGTCAAAAAGTGGTACCATTCCACCTACTTCCTATCTATGGGTTTAGGTTTAGTATTAGAAAATACAGTAAGTCAGGGAAAGAATGGAGGACAGGAATGAGCAACCTTTCCGTAGGTAATCTAAAGCAAAACAACAAAGAGGAGAAAGCAAGTCAATTTCTCTTCTTCCTCTCTGGATCCGGATCGCCCCTTCCTTACTTGATGCACATTCACCTTTAATAGGCACACAACACCTGTGTCCTCCCAGTGACTGAAGTCCCACTGACCTCCCCTTCTCCAAATCCTGCAGAACATAGGATTTATGCCTTACAGTCTGACACTGTCTGATGCCCTTGGTCTCAGACTGACTGCCTTGTTCTGGCTGGCACCCATTCACCACACATACTCTAGCAGCCTGACAGCAGTGACCGGAAAGTACAGTATTTTGTATCCCTTTTAAAGTTCAATACATAGATTTTAATAAGTATCATAAGCATCAGGTTAATTTTTTGAGGAGTCATAGAATAACAAAACGAGGAGCTAAAGGACCCTGTTTTTTTAGCTGATGAGGAATCTGACACCCAGAGAAGTTAAGTGACTTGCCACAGAGATAATTAGTGGGAAATCTGTGACTAGAACCAAAGACTGCTTTTAAAGTAATCTGTCTACCATACTACCCTCTCAGCCATAATTTTTACACTTTAAAAAAAACCAACAGGAAACTTGATGATTAGCCTCATTTATAAATATGTTCATTCCTCCGACAATATTTATTGAGTACTTATTGAGGGCCAGCACCAGGGATGCAACACCGAGTAAGACATTGGCCTTGACCTCAAGAAGCTTTCAGTCCAATGGGGAACACAGACAACTATGTGTGCTAACTCCAAGGAGTAAGTAGCATTGCTGAGACCACCTGGGCTTCTCCTATCCCAGGGCCTTTTTGTTCCCTAGAAATAGGAAACCCACCACAGGAACATTGCCTTTTATCAAGGCGTACTTGGCTCTCTGATTACTGTAATCCAGGTCTCTTGGGGATATTAGGGGAATTCTTGTGACAAGTACTAAACTCTCAAAGACACATCAAAGAAAAGAACTCACCCATGGTAGCAGCTGCAGTTTTGACTTGAACATGGTTCATAATTCTCCAAAGACCTGTTAATTTGGTCAATAAATACTTTCCATTTTGAACCTTCAAGAAGTGAAGTAAATGAAAGTTAACAAAATATCCTGATCATTCTCATTTGCTACCGGCAGGCATGCCGAACCAACTTCTGACACCCCTTCCCATTCCACTGGTGAAAAGGAAACGCCAGGAAGGATTCATTCTATAACTCTCCAGCACTCATGTCAAGTCTGCTCCTCTACTTGGGCTGTCAGGTATCCAAGAAATTGGAAAATGTCCAAGCTCAACGCCTGGCACTCAGATAGCTATGAATAAACTGGGAACACGTATTCTCACCTTTTACTAATCAAAGTGAACCCTATAAAGATGATTAATTAAAAGCCAAATACATTAATTAATTCTCCCTTCATCTCTCCGTCAATTCACTAAGAACCACACACACACACACACGCAGAGAGAGAGAGAGAGAGATGAATTATTTCCCAGTGTGTTTCAGGGAGGAACAGTGTAGCCAAGCGCGGGCGACACTGGCTGTAAGTGAACAGGAGAACTCCCTCTCTACCTCGCTATCCTAATTCCGAAAAACAGGTTACTCTCCAGGGTCCTGGGCAGTAGAAGCAGCGCCAGACACCCAGAAGTTCTCACTCTCCGCTCCAAGGCGCCCCCGTGCCCTCTGCCCAGCTAAGCGCTCCAGCGGCCACAGCATCAGCCGGCCTCCGGCCGCCTCAGGGAACCGGGGCGGGGGGGGGGGGGGAGGGGGCGGGAAAGCACCTCTGGACCGCGCCAGACCCCGAGCCTCAGCGGCAGGCTCGGCCCCGCCCGGAGCCCACCTGACTCCTTCTGGCGGCCCAGCACTGGGGGCAGTAATAGCAACAGCAGCCACAGCAGGAGCTGCGGGCGCGCCCACCGCTCCATCACCCGCAGCCCACTGCAGAGTCCCAGCCGCGGCGCCGGCGGAAGCACGGCCCCGCACAAAGATGGCCGTGGGTGCCGCACCACGTGGGCGGAGGGCCGCCCCGCACAGAGATGGCCGCGCACCACTCCGCCTCCCCGCCCCCAAGTCCCGGCGTGCGGCAGGGTTTCTTAGGGAGCACAGCTCTGGCACTTGAGTCAAGTGCTGTGGTGGAGGCGTGTGCATAGTCCCGCCTCGTTTGTTCCGAGCCAAGCTGTATAGTTAGCAGCTGCTTCATGTCGCCGGGTGTAGTGAAAGTTTCAAAATGTATCTTTCTCTCCCTTTCTCCCTTCCTCACTTTTTCTCATACAATCGAAGCCCAGGAGAGAGTGAATAAATGGCATCCCCTGGGAAAATAAGTCTAATAATGGTAATTCCTTACATTCTGTAGCATATTTAAAACACCTTATTCTCTGCAGCCAGAAAACTGAAGATCAGAGAGGCTGTTTCTTGCCCAACAGCTTCATAGTTAGTGGTACAACATAGGCTAGAAGTTTTTGCATGAGATCAAACTCTTTTTTTTTTTTTTTTTTTTTTGAGAGAGCAAGAGAAAGCGCGAGAGTCCAGGTGAGGGAAAGAGGCAGGAGAGAGAGAATCTTAGGCTCCATGCAGAGCTGGGTCTCACAACTGTGAGATCATGACCTGAGCTGAAATTGAGTTGGAGGCTGACCACCCAGGTGCCCCTCAAACTGCCTCTTATTAAATAGTATAGATTTGTTGAGTACCTGAATATGTACAGCACTTTTAGAACTCAAGGGTTGGAAAATAGTATAGAACAAATCTCTTTGTAATAGGAATTTTTATCTTATAACAATTGAAGTGACTTAAACATGGGAAAAATCTGTGGGTAACATTATACGGGACAGTATATGTGTACAGTTATACATAGGTATATATAATAATCATACAAGTATTTATTCACTGTCTAAAATGTACAAGGCAACATTCCAGGCTCTGGAAATACATGAAAGTATGAGAGATGAGATCTGTGTCCTTGAGTTTAGAACTGGTGGGAAGACAAATACACTTCCCCAGAGACTATTTATAACGTAAGGCAATATGTAATTGTTATTGGCTTCAGTAGAGAGAAAGAAAGATCAATGTGAGGTGGAAATTTGGAAAAGGGCAGGGGTATATTGAAATGAAAAGGAAATATTACAGTTAAGGAATAGTGTGCTGGAGACACTAAAAATGGGGAGCCATAATTTGCAGAAGGTCAGGGTAGAACTTAGATTGATAGTAGTAGAGATGGTAGTAGGATGCACATTGAGGAGTCGTGGAAGATAAAATAATGTTAATTAGTTAGGACTGGGTTATATCACTCACTTCGGGGGAGTGAGTAGGCAAGAAGAGAAAATGGATCCTCAACACTATATTATACAAGACTTCTTCAGGGATCCAAATGAAACCTTGAAATTTGTTGCTTCTACTTTAGGAAGACGTGTAGTACGTCAAAATCAATGGTTCATCAAAAGCACATAACTAGGGCACCTGGGTGTCTCAGTTGGTTAAGCATCTGACTCTTGATTTCAGTTCAGGTCATGATCTCACAGTTCATGGGCTTGAGCCCCACATCAGGCTCTCTGCTGATGGTGCAGAACCTGCTTGGGATTCTCTCTCTCTTCTCTCTACTCCTCCCCCTGCTTGTGCTCTCTCTCTCTCTCTCTTTCTCAAAATAAATAAATAAATGTTTAAAAAGCACATAACTAAAACAATGTGTTATGTAGACAAACACCACAGTAACCTCTTCAAAGGTAGTCTAAAATGAATATAGTGGAGAATAATTTTTAAAACTTTAATAAGAGTTTTTATTTTCCATAATTTCAGTTTTCTGTCAGACGAAAATGGAAATAACCTTCTATTATAATGTCTTTAAAACGAGAATAAATCAATATTTTCTGCAACTTTACAATGTTTATGTGGAAGAGCATCAAGAGATTGGGAGATAGGCTGCATGTGAACCCCCAGAAATAATTGTCTCATTTTCCTAACAGATGAGATAGTTTATTCCAGTGGTTCCCATATGTAAATAAGCAGAATCCTAGAGCTATGAAAATCACAGATTTCTGAGTCCTGTGCCCGCCACTAATTTAAGATGTAAAAAATTTGGTTTGAAAGACCCTCCATGTTCAAGCTCTTCCTGCTCTTCAAATTCAAGTCATGCCACATTCTCCTTTGCTCACCATGACCTAGCTATACATCTTTGTGTTGTTTCTCAAACATGCCAAGCTCTAACACACCTTAGAATTTCTGCATAAGTTTTGTTTTCTATCTTGACTGCTTTTCCCTCCCATCTTTGCCTCTGGTTCCTTCCCAACATTCAGGCTTCTACTGAAATACCATTCCCTCAAACACATATCCCCTCAAAATGGCACCTTCCTTATTTTCTACCTTAGCCCCTGTTTGTCTCCATAATACTAATAACGTATTTTATTTATTTAAAAAAAATAAAAAAAAATAAATGCTTCCTGCACTAGAATATAAGTCCAGGAGGTCAGGAACATATCTGTCTTGTTCACTAAGACAATGCCTGGTACACAGTAGGTACTAAATAAATACTTGCTGAATGAATGGAGGATGCTGGGGAGCCAACAGAAAAGTGGCAAAGGAATTTCAATGTAGCAAGCCAGGAAGCAGTTAACAGAGCAAATATAAAATAAATGTACAAAATTATGAAAATATGTAATAATCTATGTTGAGTTTTACATATTCATGAATGAAAGTTCTGTAGTACCTTAGCACAGTAAGAATATTTGGAATATTACTAACTTTAATGGTTTTGATATCGGTCATTCTGGCTCTAAATTCTGGCTTTGCCACTTATTAGTGCGGTTATTTTCAACAAGTTATTTAACTTCTCTTAAAATTTGTTTCCTCTGTAAAATAGGAACAATGATAGCATCAAAGCAATATGAGATTTAAATGAAATATGTAAAGGCACTAGTCTAGTGCCTGGCACCGCAACGACTCTCAATAAAGGTTAACTAATCATGTACTCCACAGAGAGGGCTTTCTCTTAAGGTGCTTAACATCTCTGGAGCGCGAGATCTCATATACCTACTCTTTTTGACACTTTTACTCTTTTTCTAATAGTAAACTATTGGCAGTTTCTGATTCATCATATTACCCACCATTTTACTTTTTTATGTCACTTCCTTTACTAAAAGCTAGCCTTTCATGAAAACCTATTCATTCTTGCAGTTTTCCCTTTAAACCCCAAGCTTGCCGTGTCTTTCTTGGTAAATGCGCCAACACCATCCCCCAGAATTTATTACACTGAATTGCATGCTAATATCTGGACTTTGGGCATACTTTTTAAAAATGTTTTTTTTTTTAACGTTTATTTTTGAGAGCGACAGAGAGAGCATGAGCAGGAGGGGGAGGGGTAGAGAGAGACACACACACACAGAATCTGAAGCAGACTCCAGGCTCTGAGATGTCAACACAGAGCCTGACGGGGAGGGGGAGGGAGGGAGGCTCGAACCCACAAACCGCGAGATCATGATCTGAGCCGAACTAGGAGGCTCAACCAACTGAGCCACCCAGGCACCCCTGGGCATACTTTTAATGTTGCATTTACTGTAATTGTAATGACTGTGTTTTCCTGGTGTCTCGCCTCTTTCAATAGACTGAGCAATCTGTAGTATTAACTCCAGCATCCATCCAGTCCTTTAATTCACATACAATAGACGCAGACTGGATGATGAAGCAGGACATCGCGACTTGAACTCCTTTATCTGGCGGTGACGTGACCGTGGGTGACGGCTCCGAATCTCCTCCGTCAGTAAAATTGGGACGATAACTTGTACGTAGCTGTTAAGGAGAGTCCAAGAGACACAATAAGGACCCCTAGCATGGTGCCAACGCATCGTACAAATCCAGGAAGGAAATACTTCGGCCAGCGTTGGCTGGGTAGGTTGGACCACAAGCCAATGAAGAAGGAGAGTCCCACTGCGCAGGTGCATGCAGGAGTGGGTGGGGTGCTGGCTCTTCATACTGCAAGAGCAGTTCCGGGGGCCAGCTAGACGCTGGGGCAGCGGGCGGTCGCGGAGCTGACGTCATTGCCGTGCGCTGCCACGTCTGCTCAGCTCCGCGGTAATGGAGGCTGAGGTTGAGTGCTGACGGGGCCGGGCGCTTCCTTTAGCTTTAGCTCTGGCTCTGACTCTGGCACTGACCTGGGGCTGGGGCGGGGGCTGGCAGCCCGAAGCCTGGACACCTTTTCTCAACTTTCCGGGCGGGGACGGCCTGCGGACAAGCAGCTCGTTTGGAGCTCTTCAACGCGGGGAGGGAATTCTCTTGCCTGGGGTCCAGCCTGTAAAGCCGCCGCCTCCTCCCAGGGATCCCGCCCCACCGGCTGGGCCTCCTCCATGCGTGAGTATTCCCGCATGTACAGTATGCGCTGTCCGACTGCCCGGCGTGCTTCGGTCCTCTGGGTTGCGCCGCGGGAACCTCTTTGTCGTTTGTCCCCTCTTAGGGGCCAGTCTGTTGAAGTTTGTGGTCTCTTGCCATTTGCCTTCCTTCACCTCATCCCCTCGCCTATTCTATCCCAGTTTTTTGCTTCACACTTTCCCTCGTTAACTGAGCAAGGACCAGCAGTCCCTCCATCTAGCGGTTTGAATGTTTTGTCTTACCTGGGGTTTCTTAGTCTACCGCCGAAGGCTGTTAGGAATAAGGAATATCAGATCAATCTGCAGTAACGTTTGAAAACAAGGGTTTTTTCCAGGATGTCGTTTTTAAGTTGTATTATTTAGGAAGTAGATTTTGGTGTACGTATTGGCAGAGCCATGTTTTTGCCGTAAATTGATCAAGATACAGTTTCTTTTCGATGGGGGGGGGGCGGTCTTTATCTGTTATTTGCCTTTTAATCCTGCAGTTTCAGTAATTTTTAAATGATTTCACATCAGTATAGTGGCCATCCACTATAGCTCTTTCTAATATTTACACTCTAACATATGGAGTTACAACTTGAACAATTCTTTTAAAGACTTAAAAGGCCAACTGGTGTACTTTCATCCATCTTTGTCGGT